ACTTCTCCCTTTGTAGCCACGTGGCCAACCCTTCTCCTCCTCCTCCACCTACCTTCAAGATCCCCCCCTCCTCCTCCTCCTCCTCCTCCTCCTCCTCCTCCTCGGTTCTCCCTGTCTCGCCATGTGGCGCCCCAGCACCGCCCCCCCAATCAAGACGTTGTCAATCAAGACGGTGTCCTCCCTCTCCTCCTCCTCCTCCTCCCTCTCCTCCACGTGGCGTCAAAGTGACGCAGCGATTCAACGAACGGAAAAAAGAAAAAAAGAAAAAAAAAACTACTCATCCTATGCTGCTCCTCCTCATCCTCGAAGACAAACAACATCCATTGGAGGTCTGTAGTATGGTGGTCTCCCTCCGCCCTTTCTATAGCTGCTGTCATTCTCCTTTCAGCCGAAGACGAAGAAGAAAGAAAGGAGGAGGGAGAAGGAAGGGGGAGGGAGGAGACATGGTTGATGAGGGAGGAGGGGCTCACCTTCTCACGATGCAGACGACGTCGAGGAGGAGCGATGGCGAAGCAGCAGGCAGCGACGACGACGAGGCGTGAAGGCAGCACCGACGTCCAAGCACGGAGGCAGCACTGACGTCCAAGCACGGAGGCAGCACAGACGTCCAGGGACGGAGGCAGCGACGACGAGGTGGAACCCTGCTCGGAGGACGAGCGGGGGAAGCGCGCATTCGAATTCGAACCCAGTTCGAATTCAAATCGCGATCTCGCGCGAGCCGTCGATCTTCGCTGATCAACGACGGATCTTCAAGGCCGAAAAAAAAAAGGGCCTACTGGGCCCCGACTTTTTTCTCCGCCGCCGCTCTACTGTCCACTACAGCCTCGGTCTCCCAGGGGCTTTACCGGGAAAAAAAAAGCCCGCCCTCTATTTTGTGCAAGGGGGCCCGGGGTTTCGACCGGGCGGGCCACCCGGCCGGGCGTTCCGGGCGTGTGCCGGGCGAGGGAGGGGGTGACCGGGCCGCCCGGCTGGTGGCCCAGACTTTTCTTTTCTTTTCTTTTCAAAAAAAAAAAAAAAAAAAATCCAGATTTACTTTAATTCGAAATTCTCACGCTTTAAAAATATTTTAGAATTAACTATTTCACCTTCGGATTTTCCTAATCCTGCGAAAATTTTAAAATCTCCTCTTCCAAATTTTTTCAGAATTTCTTTTCTGTAATCCATGATTACCTCATTCTTTCCTAAATTTCACGTTTTCTTGTAAATAAATTTTGAATAAGTTTAAATTCAAATCGATTTTTTTTTTTTTTTTGAAATTAATCATTTCTTTCTTCGATATTTTCAATGTTTATTTCTTTGGCATTTTTTTGAAAAAAATCGTTTTGCAAATCTCTCCTTCAAATTCTTCCAAAATTTTGTTTTACCCATATTCTTGAACTAGTTTCGAATAAATAAGACTCCAGCCGGAATAAATTTATTCAAAATTAATTCTTGCCCCCCCCCCCTCCCCCAATTTTATTCCCTTTTTTTTTTGAAAAATCTTGGCAATTATCTTTATTTATATATTTTTGAATTTATTGTATTGTGAATAAATAAGGAATTGTCCCCCCCTATCTCCACATGCCACCATGCCAAACCAAGACCTCCCAACGCGCCGCCGCCGCTGCCGCTAAAGCTGCTGCGACCTCCACTGCTCCATCCTCCTCCGTCGCCTCGCCTTCGTCCTCCCCAATGACCGAAGGTGCTTCAAGCCACAACATGAGCTCTCCCCCCGATGACTCCGTGGTGGACACCCACCGCGAACTCGTTGGCCAACAAGCCATCGAGGAGAACACCCCCGCCCCATCCCTCCTCTCCATCCTTCAGTCTGTACAAGACTCCCTCGGGACACTGTCCACTTCCGTCGATGGCATCTCAAGTCGGTTGACCGCCCTTGAGTCCCAAACCACTACCCCCTCCATCCAGATGGTCACCACCACCACCCCCACGTCCACAGGCGCCTCCAGCCACACCCCCCTGACGACCTCCTCCACTCCTACTACCTCTACCACCACATCCACCACCTCTGCCTCCTCCACCCTTCCCCCCCCCCTTCATCCGGCGCTTCCAGCACACTGCCTCATTCCTCGCCTGACCACATCACCCCTCTTCCCCCCTCGCACTCCCATACCATCTCACAACCCATTATGACGACCTCCACCATCCCCACCCTGGGCACCCCTCGTCCCACCTATTCCCAAGTCACCTCCGGGTTTTACCCCCAACTACCTCCTTGACGACAACAGCCAATTCGATTACACCTGCTAGGACACTACCCCCGATAACCTCAACTTCAATGGATCGTTTTTCGCGAAGGGGAAATCCCCCGTTCCTTCCGATCCGCCGACATCATGCCCTTCTCCGGCCTTCCCCACAAGGACGTTTTCCTCTTTCTTACTCAGCTCCAGAACTCTTTCAAGCTCCACCACATGCCCATTGTCCACTGGCTTCCCATTGCCACCTCTCGCCTCCTCCGCAATGTCGCCAAATGGTGGATGGCCGAAGTCAGCAACCGCCACGCCTTCGGAGGATCGCGTCACTCCTTCCTCCAATGGGCCAACCTTCTCACTGCCACCTTCCCCCCCCAGAAAACCATCGATGACTACCTTGAGCAATTCTGTCACCTCCGCCAGACCGGTCCCACGGACCACTTCGTCCAATACATTCGCTCCCTCCGCCATCAGCTCCCCACCACCGTCATTCCCGAGTTTGCGTTCATCTCCCACATCAAGCGAGTTTGCCACAAAGATCTTGCGACCGCCTTTGCCCACGAACCTGACATGCCCCTTGCTGACCTCCTCTCTCGCATACTTCACCACGATCGACGACTCCACCCCCATCACTAGTCCACGCCCGCTCCCTCCCGCCCCCGCTTCTTCCATAACATCACCCCTGACGACACCACTCCGCCCACCTCCGATGACGACTTCGAGGACCTCCAGGCCGCCCATTTTATGCGGATGGAACGCCAGGATCGTGCCTCCCGACCGCCTTCTTCCTCTCCACCCCGCCGTCTCTAGAAACTTACACCTGCAGAACGCATATACCTTCAGGAACACAATGGGTGTTTTCGCTGCCGCCAGTTAGGTCACCAACATACAAACTGCCCCAACGCTAGCTGCTTTACTCGACAGGCCCCTCGCTCCGCAGGAGCCGGCCCTTCTACTTACACTTCTTCGTCCACCACGACAACCAGGCCCTCCTCCACCTGAACACTGTCCCCCTGTCCCTTGCAATCCTCCCCCGGCATCGACCACTTGTCTGTTGGCTCTCCCATCGGTGACGATCTCTCCCCCATCGGTGGCCCACTTGGCATCGACTATCTGTCTGCCAACTCCCCCTCCGGTGACGCACATCCCATCGGACGACCCCCAGGTGACGCACATCCCATATCCAGCGCCTCCCATCACTCCATCACCGATACACCGAAGGCTACCTCTCTTGCCCAGACTTCGCCGCCATTCACAACAAGCTTCGCGATCTTGACCCAGTCCTCGACTACTCCTTCCACGACAATTTATTTTTGCATATCCTTTTTATTTGTTTAGGCAAAATCATTTTTGGTTCACCAAACACTTCCCGCTCCGTGGCCTTCATACATTCGTGAATTACATGTAATGTACTTGTGGGGGCGAAGCCATCTCTGTGCAAAATTCGTCATATCAGTTGTTCCCCATCTTTCAGTAATAAAATGCTTTGTTGAACTAGTTTTGACTGATGTTTTCGCAGTTTTGAAAAGTGAAATTTGTCACAAACAGTTTCGCGAAAACAAGCCTCTACATCGACACCAAAGGCACTCGCCGACTGTGCATCCCTGACACACATGGTCTCCGTACCCAGCTCTTGGCCGAGCACGACGACGCCAAGACCGCAGGTCACCTCGGTTTCCAGAAAACCTTCGACACCATCTCTCACTACTTCTGTTGGCCTTTTCTACTCGCCGACGTCAAAACATACATTCGCTCATGTCCCACGTGCCAGGCTGTCAATCCTCGAACCGGGCCAAACCCGGCAAGCTCCAATCATTGCCCATCCCCACTCATTGGTGGCAGTCCATTTCCATGGACTCCGTGTGCGGTCTCCCTAAGATCGACCGTGGGCATGATTGCATCTACGTTATTGTCTGCCGCCTGACCAAATGCGCCCACTTCATTCCTTGCACCCCCTCGCACACCGCCAAAGACATCACCTTACTCTTCTTCTACCATGTTGCACGCCACAACGACCTCCCCGAGAATATCATCAGCGACCGCGATCCCCGTTTCCTCTCACAGTTTTGGAAACAACTCTTCAACGCCTACGAAATTACACTCAAGTATAGCACTGCATTCCACCCACAGACCGATGGACAAACCGAGAAGATGAACGATACTCTTCAAAGAATCCTACGGAAGTACTGTCATCCACATCAACACGACTGGGATCAGTTGCTCACCGCCGCCGAGATCGCCTACAACAACGCTGCATGTCCTTCCACTGGCATGTCTCCATTCTACCTTGACCTTGGCTACCATCCGCGCTTGCCCTCTGATTTCCTGCTTCCCCCGCAACTCAACCCCTCCACACCTTGCCCTTCCCTCAATGAATGGGTAGCAACAATGAATCGACTCCTCAGAGAAGCAACCGAAGCCCTCAAAAGAACACAAGAACAACAAGCAAACAAAATCAACAAACACAAACGAGACTTGCAATTCAAAGTAGGGGACAAAGTCTGGCTCTCCGCCAAACGCTTTGAACCAGAACAAAGAAACTCTTGAACAAATGGCTCGGACCCTTCCCCATCATTGAAAAAACCTCCGACGTCAACTACAAACTCCAACTTCCCCCCCGACATGAGCCGCGTCCACCCGGTCTTCCACGTCGAATACTTGAAAGAATATCATGAATCCCCACCCCAATTTGCTGACCGCCCATATCCTAGACCTCCACCTATCATGTTACCCACAGGCCTGAATTCGTTGTCTAGACACCCACGTAACTAGAACCCTAAACCCCTGTATAAACCTTGCTACAACCTCGCAACCCCGTTCTACACACACCCTTGAACCCAGTCCACCCTCCCCTCAACCCCGATTCGTGATGTCTGATCTGCCCTTGCCCTCGCCTAGCCTTGTCCCATCTGTCCTCTCCACTACCTTGTCTCTCTTGTCCAATGCTTATGAACCTGCGTGACGCCGGCGATAAAGGATCTAATGGCAAGCACACGAGGATGATGGCCTGCTGCCTCACTGTTCATGGAGATTATGCAGCTGGTTTGGCCACCATGCTGTTTCACCGGCCGGCATCCCGACTCGCGGACTTACTGGAGCAGCAACTTGTGACATGGATCTTTGCATCAGTCTGGGACTTCCTTGCTTCCAGATCAGACCCCATTGCAGTTCGTGTACCAGACGCACCCTAGCACTTGGACGTTGGACATTTGAACTACTGTTACGCTTCTTGGACTTCTACCTGTTGCAGCCGCTGAAGACCGCTTCTACCACCTACTCCAAGACCTGATCAAGACCGCTGCAGATCCCCTTTCAAGACAGTTGGAGTCTTGGACACTTTGTTCCTACATGAGATTCTGCTTCTGACTCCTTCGGACATACCAGCCCTTGCCTCCTGAGCAAACATTTTCATTTGTATTTTTTTATTTTTATTTTTCCTGACTTTGACAACCCTGTAGAACATCATTAGCAGATCCCTGTTTCCCTGACCATTGTTCCCCTCACCCACTAGAACATCAGTAGAATTCCCTGTTCCCCTGACCATTGTTTCCCTTACCCACTAGAACATCAATAGAAATTCCCTGTTTTCCCTGAACATCGTTTCCCCTACCCAGTAGAACATCAATAGAAATCCCCTGTTCCGTGAACATTGCTTAGCTTCCCCTATAGACCCACCCAGTTCCATCATACCTTCACCTGTGCAGAACACCAGACAGAATAACCTGTGACTTGCATCACTCCCCTTCTCCTTCTCCGACCAGTGATCGGCCCCGTCCCGTCCTTCACAGCTCCTTTTGTTTCCTTGGCTCTTTGGCAGCCGGGACGTTGCCTTTCAGAGGGAGGGGATAGTGTTACGGACTCCGCCAGGGCTCGATCCCTGGTCTATCTTTTTGCTGTTTCTGCTGCATCCCGTTTTCGTCCTGGCCCTTTTTTCCAAACCCCTCCTTTGGTACCGTCGGATTTTGGACAACTGGCGCCATGCTGCAATTTGGGCGCCACTTTCAAATACCGCATTTTTCAGTTCTGCCCTCGGGGCTTTTGCGGAAATGCCCCTGGTACCGTACGTGTCACTGGTACTTATACCGGCTCCCCGTACAGTACAGGGGGGAGTCTGGGACCAGTTTTCAGCTGCTGTACTCGTACCCAGTGTGACTTGCCCCTGTTTCGGCATTTGGGAACCCAAGACTTTGACTTTGTGTCTTTGCCACTGTGTCTGCGTCCGTCGAGTCCCTTGGTCGTGTCAGGTGAGTGAGTGTGTGTGCTCTCACTTTCTCTCTCTCCCCTCTCCCTCAGCTCTCCCTGTCTCCCTCAGCCTCGCACTCGTTACACTCTCTCTCTCTCTCTCTCTCTCTCTCTCTCTCTCTCTCTCTCTCTCTCTCTCTCTCTCTCTCTCTCTCTCTCTCTCTCTTCTAGCGCAGCTCGCTGGCTCAGCGCTTCACTCATCACAATAGCGTATGATAATCATTAAAAACGCCAAGTACATCAAAGGATAAACGCAAAAAACGGGCGCAGCGACCCTACGCTGCGTTTCATCCGGCCGCCAACACCGGAATCTTCAGGGGTGTTGTACGTAGCTAGGATAAGGGGCCTGGTACCACAACCCCACGGCCTGTTTGCTTCCGAATGTCAGGGCCTGGTACTTTTCCCGAATTTTCATTGGTGAGCTGCTGCTTGGCCTGTGAGTCGCGACTTTTCAATGGTGGAACATGACTTTTGACTGTGGACTGTGACGCTTGCCTCTGCGACACGACTTCTGCTGGGGAAGGTGTCCTTTGCCCGTGGGATGTGACTTTTCAATATGACTTTTCATTATGAGACGTGACTTTTGCTTAAGGAATGCAACCTCTGCCCCTGGGATGTGACTGTTCACCGGGTGCCTGTTGGACTCAACTCTCTAAGGTACCCGACTGTGACTTCTCTGAAACTGACCGACTTAGCCTCGTGGCCTGAGTATTTTCGAATTTATATATATATATCCTCGAAAATTTTCCTCTTCGAATTTGCAAATACTTTCAATTTTTTATTTTATATTTTTTTCCGAATGTTGGCTTCGGGATCGGCGACGAGGCAGTGATGGGGATGAGGCGCTGACGTGGCAGCGGCGACGATGACGACAACAGCATCGACGGCGATGTTGTGGCGGCGCTGGAGTCGATGGCGATGGTGACAATGTCGATGACGTGGCAGCACCGGAACAGGGAGGGAGGGAGGGCCGGAGTAGCGAGGCCGGGGTAGAGAGACAGAGAGAGAGTGAGGGCACACACACACACCAGCTCGACACGGACTCGACTCGACGCAATGGACACAGACATGAAGAGGCAAAGTTGCAAAGTCGCAAAGTCGCAATCTTGGATTCCAAACACAATGTCGCAGCAAGTCACACTGAAGCACAAGCACTAAGGCCGAAAACTGAATGCCCGGACTGGGCTTGAGTCCGGTCTTAAGTACCTTTCTCAAGTTTCAGTCCTGAGGGCAGAAGTGCAATTTACCTCGGGGCTGAACTGAAAATCGAAGGTCTGAGCCTGGGTGGCAGATTGCCAGAAGGCGCCAAGTATCCAAATCCGAAAGTGCCAGAGGAGGAATTTGAGAACGGGCGCCAACTGCAGAGGGCGCCAACAGTCAGGAACAGGAGATCAGCAACTCAAAAATAAAATAGCGGCCTGGCGGGTGGTAACCCGCGGACCAGGGATCGAGCCCCGGCTGAGTCCGTAACAGTGTGTGTGTGTGTGTGTGTGTGTGTGTGTGTGTGATGCATGGACATTCAGGGTGGATCTTTGTGCGCGCGCGTGTGTGTGAGGGTGAGGCCGATGGTGGAGATAGTGTTCGGTTGGGACTTCAGACAGTGTTCGATGGCCATAGCCGCAAGTTGTAACAGTTGACTTGAACTGAATATCTGGCCAGAGGCCATATCTCTGAGTTTTCTGTGTGGGCGCATGTTGCGATTGCAAGTTCATTGCTGAGACTGAGTTGATGAAGTTGTTTTGCCATCGGTACACACATGTATGCATGTTGCAAGCAAGATTGAGACAAGTCTGATTTCATTTTTAGCCACCTTGCTGCTTTGTCCAGTACCATTCTGCAATGGACTTGAGGCGGAAGTCTTCTGTTGCGTCTGACAGACTATCTTCCTGGAAGGATGGTCAGATTGGCCCAGTAACCATTGCTGTATTCCATACATGCAAGCGCACGTCGTGCAGGCGGTTTCCTACATGCGGCGCATGCGCCCAACCGATCCCGTGCGGCGCACGACGTGTGCAGAGATCGACCCGTCACCCCCCTCAGAAAAAAAAAAAGGCCAGGGTCGAAACGGTGCGTTTGAGGCCCCCTGCCAAAATTATAAGCGAGAGAAAAAAAAATTTACAGGAGTACTGCCTCAACTTGCTCCTCCTCCCCTTCCTCATCCTCCATGTCTCCTCCTCCCTTCTCCTTTTCATCTCCTCCTCCTCCTCCTCCTCCTGTCCGTCCTCCTCCTCCTGCCCTTCCTCATCCTCCTTGTCTCCTCCTCCTCCTCGTACTTCCTCATCTTCCATGCCTCCTCCTCTCCTTCGCTTCCTCGTGTCCTCCTCTTCCTCGTGTCCTCTCCTTCCTCGTGTCCTCCCCTTCCTCGTGTCCTCCCCTTCCTCGCCGTCCATGTCTCCTCCTCCTCCTCCTGCCCTTCCTCTTTTCCCTCAGCCCATCTCTTCTCCTCCCCCATGTCGACTCCTCCTCCTCGTCGTCCTCCCTATCCTCGTCATCGTCCTCATCCGCATCCTCCTCCTCCTATCCATATCCCCCTCTCCTCGCCGTATCCCCATCTTCCTGTCAAACGCCCCCTGTGCGGAACTCGGCACGGAACTCCGCATGAATGTGCGGCTCGTGCAGTTGCAAGTATGCTGTATTCCGAAACCAAAATCATCAGCAGAAAAGCGCTTGGCGTCAGACATCACTGCATCGAGCTTTTCCGAGATCATTTTGTTGCCCTTTCTTCTTTTTAGCCACCTTGCTGCTTTGTCCAGTACCTTTCTGCAATCACCTTGATGTGGAAGTCTTCAGTTGCGTCTGACAGACTATCTTCCTGGAAGGATGGCCAGATTGGCCCAGTAACCATTGCTGCATTCCAAAACCAAAATCATCTACAGAAAAGCGCTTGGCCTCAGGCATCACTGCATCCACCTTTTCCGAGATCACAGCATCTATGTTTTCCAACACCCCACTACCCCTCATTCTGCAAAAAAAGTCGGATCAGGTGGATGTCTGCAGAAAGGGGATGACCTCACCATGAAGAGATTCAGATGAAATCAGACTGCACTCCAAACTTGCTTTCAACATGCATACAAGCGAACTGATGGCAAAACCAAACTCTGCAACTCAGAATCAACAACGAACTTGCACCCAAAGTCTGTTCAAGTCAACAGTACAACTTGCGGCTATGGCTGCCGAACACTGTCTCCACCACCAGCCTCACTCTCCCTCATGCACGCATGTACGAGTATCTACCCTGAATGTCCACGCTACACAGACACACACTCTGTACACTCTGTCTGTGACAACAGCTGGGCGGCTATGGTCGCCGCCGTCTTCCTCCTGGCCAGTTATGACCGTTGTCTTCCTCACTGCCCACTTCGGCTCCGGGCACCTGCAGACCTACACACACAAGTCACCAAGGCAGCACACTTCCGCATGGCTCCCATGTGAATGAATGAATGGCTGGACGCTGCCTTTTTATTTATACTGCTTCGGAGGTGGCCGGGCCCTGTCCCAAAACGCGTGGCCTCGGGCCAAAACGCGTGGGGCCTGGGCCTAGAATCTTCCAGGCCGTGTAGGCCTGGTAGACCCAAAATGTGTGGCCCCCAAGACGCGTTTCTGGAGCCTTCTGTATCCCGCTTGGCCAGATCCTTCCCCCACGTGCAGCCCTGGTACTTGCTGACTCAGTCAGACTCGTCCAGTCCAACTCTTCCGGAACCTAGATCCTACGGACTGTTACCTACGGACTGACTCTTAGGCGTACGAAGAGGTAAGTAGAGACTTCTAGAACAAACCTTCCTAAACTAATGGTAACAGACTTAAGTACTAACCTACAGACCTAGGGATCAAGCCCAACTTCCCTTCCTACAGCCTAACCTATGACAAAGGACAGGTCGAGGGCTCAAATCTCACATAGTCACCGGGTGATTGTACAGGGCACAGGCATAGGTCTAGGGATCAAATCTCACTCAGCACACATGGTCAATGTACATGGCTCAGGCATAGGTGTAGGGATCGAATCTCGATGTCTGCAAATGTTTTGTCGACTGGGTGAAACCATTTCACTCCCGCCGTCCTAAATTTGAGGTCCTCCAAGAACACTCTAACTCAAGGTAGGACTTTTCCCCTTTCTTTCTCTTTCATAGGCGTGTACTACGCCGGGAGCGGTTTCTAACAGCTCTGTTCTAGTAAACCATCTGTCGTCCTCTGGTTCTTGATATGTGAACCTGACTTTGTACTGTGTCGGGAGCGGTTTCTAGCAACTCTGTTCTAGTAAACCATTTGTCTTCCTCTGGTTCTTGATATGCGAACTTGACTTTGTATTGCTCCCGGGGACGACCTCGCCCTCTGGTTCTGAACACGTACTCTTCCACTATGCGATCTATATCGTTGGCATCGTCCATATCTGGCGGAATCATTGACCTTCATGAAGGAAATCTGTCACTGGTGCATTAGTCAAAATGTGATGCCGTTGGAATGACTTAAACATACCTTGTTCTAAACGCCGTCTTATACTGATCGCCAGGATGAACCTCTATCTGATGGTACCCTGACTTTAAGTCTATCTTCAAGAAGTACTTGCAGCCCTGCACTCGATCTAACAAGTCATCTATACGAGGCAGCGACTCTGCATTCTTAATCGTGATGGCGTTTAGTTCCTTGTAGTCTATACACATATGCAACTCTCCCTCTTTCTTTGGGACGAATAGAACAAGTGCGCCGAAAGGTGATGAACAAAGCCTTATCCATCCTTTCTCCAGAAGCTCATCTAATTGCCTGCGAAGCTCCTCTAGTTCTTTGGGAGAGATCCTGTAGACCGCCCCTTTGGGCGTATGGCAACTGCCAAGTTCTATCTCGATGCGGTGCTGGATCGGTCTTGGCACTACACTTGAAGGTGCTTCAAACAAATCTTTGTACTCTTCCAGCAGACTGACAATAGTAGGATGGATCTCCTCTTCTTCTTTTGGCTTGTCAGAAATCGGCCTAACATAAGCTACGAACGCCTGCTCTTCGAGTTGCTCCTTCCTTACAAGTCGAGCGAAGGCAGGAGCGCTGAGGCAGCAATATGCGAGGGGATTATCTACCCGGGACTCATGGTACATTCGGACTTGCTTGACTTCGCCTGACGGACTAGGGAGCCTCACTCGTGCTCTCTAAGGTGCAAAGTGGCTCTTGCTGCCTCTCCCCAATCTGCCCCTAAAACCATATCGAATGGGAGATTGAAGGACCCTTTCTACCTTTCCCTTTTTCCTTAGGCGGAAGTATGCCCGAACTCCCTCGACGAACTCCTCGACTCGCATCCTACTGTTGTCTGCAAGGATGCTGACTCTTTCAATCGTTGGACCTTTAAGTTGAGCTTTGCGACTAACGTAGCTCCTGGTGACCCCACTATCTATAAGGGCTCCTACTCTAGCTGTAAAGATTTCTACATCTGCGAGATTAGTTGTCCTTTCCCATCTCTCTTCGTCTTAGCCCAGGCTTGCCTTCTTTCCTTCAACTCTTTAGCTAAGCCTCTGAGGAAAGCGTCTAGAGAGACTATGACACAAGCAGTCCCTGGACAACTTACTAGACGCTGGCCAGCAACCTCTGCCATGGAGATATGTGGAGTGGGCGACTCTATCTTGCACGCATGTTCAAATCCACATACTCCTATGGTAGGGGCAGTTGCGACCCCTATCGGCGACTGCCTTTCGCTGTCCCAGAAGCAGCGCGACTCCTATACTTGGGACAAAATTTGATGATGTGGTTGGGATCCTCATAGAATACACATTGAGACCTATCTATACGACACTGCCACACATTCTGCTCAATCCCCAGATCTTCCCAAGGTCGTCCCTCGGGTCGACTTGGGTGCCACCATCCCTGTCTGGGAGGTGACCGACTCTGACGAGGGAGGTTGGACGGGGGACCTTGACCCCTTCCTCCCGCTTGACGGCCCCCATTGCCGCCAACCCCCTGGCGGCCCTGTCCTCGGCCACCTGGGGCGAGGCCATTCCGGCCAGGCCCTAGTCCCCCTCTTGCGGCCTCCCTTTGGCTGCGACAACAACGTAGGCTCTCCCCTTATCTACATTACTGTCGTCCTCCTCTAGTCCCCACTCAATGTCCGAGTAGGGAATCTCCTCAGCACCACCTTCTTCCATCGTTAGAATCAGACTGTCTTTGACCTTAACTTGGCAAGAGATGGTGCGCCCCTTCCACATTTTTCCCTTTGTCAGATCCTTGTGCCAGAACGCGGTAACTGGCGACGCTTGTGCAGCAAACGAAACACCCTCCCTGGCTGTTGCTTTCGGGTGAAGAAGTGCCCTTGCACATGCTCGGGCAATGCGCGGTAGAAGAGTTGGACTAACTGTGCATCATTGACTCCATGTCCAGGCACAACTCAACTCATCCATGGCAGGCTTGAGGGCATGCACGCTCTTCCACAGGCGTGTACGGATCATTTGCAGTTTGTCAGAGGCTTTAAACCCCCACGTGACATCTGAGAATCATTCTCTAAGAGACTTAAGGAACTCGGATAGGGGTGTGACTCGTGAATACGTGACCATATCATTGTCACAATTCGCGCCCCTTGCTAGCGACCTCGCAAAGCTGGTTGCTTCGTCTCGTAATGCCTGGAAGGCTACCTAAACATGGTCTTTTGGCACGACGCTCTGTAAGTACAAATAAGAATTTACGTTGGCCTCCCAATTGTCAAAGACCTTTCCAAAACATGGTCTTCTGGCATGACGCTCTGTAAGTACAGATAGGAATTTACGTTGGCCTCCCAAATGTCAAAGACCTTTCCCTTCTTCCCGCTGAAAGGCTCGGGGAAATGGACGTTGACCTTCTCGCGGCGTGGGGCAGGCTCCTCTTCCTTGGAAGCCACTACCTTGGCGTCCTCTATGGCGCCTGTGCAGAATTCCTTGGTCCTACTAATCGCAAGGTGGACCTGGTCCACCAAGTACTTCATTGTGTCGCGTGCAAAATCTTGTAATCCAGCGCGTATCGACTCTAACGCGATATCATGGCTGCGAATATGTTGCATTTGCTCTCGCTGCGTGAGTAGTAGTGATTTCATACTAAGAATCAGGGTATCGAGCCTATCTTGGTCTTGTCCCTGATTTTCCCCATTCTAGTCTCAGCCGCTCTTAGATCCCTTTCTGTCCTGTTTGCCACTTCCAGACGTCTGACTCTCTCTTGGTTTAGGCGCAATCTCCACCCCGACTGTTTCTCCTGCTCTTTAGCTCTTCTCCGCAAGGGGTCCCTCTCTGCCTCCAACTCTCTTCTCACCACTTCTCTCTCTTCCGAGGTTATTATCAACCGGACTTCTCTATCTTCCCCCAACTCCACATGTGCTACCCACTCATCAATTGCCTTCTCCACCTCCTCTTGTGCCACCTGGCTTGTACTCGCCTCCCCCTCCTCTCTAGCGGCTCCTCTTGTTTGACTTCCACTTCTTCATCTACTTCGGGCCTCTATTTCTGCCATCTTCTCCTCCTGCTCCTCCTTCCACCTTTCAATTTCTTCTTCCATCGGCTTCTTCTTCGCCTCCTGCTCCTCTAACAGGGCTGCTTAATCAACTCCCTCTTCTCCATCTTCTCCTTCCTTTCTCTCAGAAGGGCGACAACTCTCTCTTCCTGCTCCCTATTGTAGAGTGCACAATCACAGGCGATTATGCTCCTCAACACGTAGACCTACCAGTCTGACTCTCCAAAGTACATAGAATAACTGACTGTCTACTGCTCTCATCTACTCTAAGGTCCTCACTACAGGACTCACTGGCTGATCAGGAGGCCTTCTAAGAAGATCCCCTAAACTCCTCAAGAATTCTTTAACGTCGCAGACAGGACAACGTGATCAGCCGAGTCCTCTCAAGACTTAGACAGCTCGACGCACAGCCCACAGCTCGGAGTTCGGGCCTACCACACCACACTGAGCAGCCCGCCGGTCAGTACCGGTCCTTGGGAGTCTTGTCCCCGGAACGTGTCAGTCGTCAGACGCGGCCTTTAGCCTTACTAAGTCCCGTGTGGGTTTGGGCTCGCAGCTCTACGACCACATCCACAGAGTCCTATCGACGTGGACATAAGTGACAGGGAGATATGACTGACTCTGACAGACCTGACCACCCCTCCGACCTCCTGGCTATGGTGGTCTTCTTCTTCGCTGCCCTCTTCTTCTTCCTACATCTTGGCTATGGCTGCTTCACCTCCCTTTTCATCAACTTCCTTCTTCTTTCTCTCTGCGTCTCTTCTTCCTCTTCTCTCGTTGGTCATCTTCTTCTCCGAGCTCAGCAGCTATGGCTGCCGTTCACTGTGGCCTCCTCTCTCTGTCTCTCTGTCTCTCTCTCTCTGTCGCTCCTTGGCCATGGTGGCTTTCTCCTTCCTCGCTTGCTGCATCTCCAACGTGGACAACGGGTACCTGTTCCGATACCAGTGAAATCAGACTGCACTCCAAACTTGCCTTACATGCAGGCAGTTAGATGCATACACGCGAACTGATGGCAAAACCAAACTCTTCAACTCAGATTCAACAACGAGCATGCACTTAAAGTCTGTTCAGGTCAACTGTACAACTTGCGGTTATGGCTGCTGAACACTGTCTCCACCACCAGCCTCACTCTCCCTCATGCACGCATGTATGAGGATCTACCCTGAATGTCCACGCTACACAGACACACACTCTGTACACTCAAAACGCGTGGCCTCGGGGCAAAACGCGTGGGGCCTGGGCCTAGAATCTTCCAGGCCGTGTAGGCCTGGTAGACCCAAAATGTGTGGCCCCCAAGGCGCGTTTCTGGAGCCTTCTGTATACCGCGTGGCCTGATCCTTCCCCCACCTGCAGCCCTGGTACTTGCTGACTCAGACAGACTCTACGAATAGGTAAGTAGAGACTTCTAGAACAGACCTTCCTAAACTAATGGTAACAGACTTAACTACTAACCTACAGACCTAGGGATCAAGCCCAACTTCCCTTCCTACAGCCTAACCTATGACACAGGACATAACCTATGACACAGGACACTCGAGGGTTCGAATCTCACACAGTCACCGGGTGATTGTACAGGGCACAGGCATAGGTCTAGGGATCGAATCTCACTCAGCACACAGGGTCAATGCACAGGGCTCAGGCATAGGTTTAGGGATCGAATCTCAGTGTCTGCAAATGTCGTGTCGACTGTGCATGACCCTTTCACGCAAGTGTGTACATGTCATGCATCATTCTCACAAACCACGGTCGATAGTCTCAAGTCATAGACAAAGGTAGATGAGAAGAGGACCGAGTTTCACAGCTTATATTATCAGAAATATGAATACAAAGTGTTTCAAAGTTCCCCTGAGTCCAGCACCCATCGGCGCAACACCAATCTCTTGTCAACTCATTGATGTGACTTCCAGTGAATCAGCGCTACTCCTGCAGATAGTTTCCAAGTCATCAATTTGGTCACTACTCATCAGCGCCACCTCTGCAGGTCACATCCAACCCAGGTAAGTATCTTCCATAGCCGAACCTTGAATGAACACTCTCAACCTCAGTCCCTTCCTCCTACGATGCATACACACTCTTCACTCATGAGGATCTACTCTGGATACTACTCATAGCTACATACTGACCCTCTACTACTAATGCTAACTCGCTGGGCAGCTATGGCTGCATTACTTCCAGTGTACTGGCTTCTTCCTCCATTCAGCGCATCTTCTACCTCCAGCACTGCTCCTCCTGACTCAGCGCACAAGTGCACCAGCACTTCCACGCATTGCAGCCAGTGGAGATCTGGCGAGGAATGAGGCAGGCAGCTCCCTTTATAGTGCTGGCCACTCCTCGCTGGGTCTGCATTGGCTCAATTCGGCCTTTCCTTTGTCCCAGACCCTGCATTGCATGTGTCCCAGTATAGTCCCAATGAAGTTCAACTGCTGCTGAGGCCTCTCGGCCTGGATTTGGACTTGAAAGTCTGGATCTGGACTGACCCCTTGAATTATACCAGAACTGGGACTGTGCCTATTGACTTTACTTTCGGACATGCACAACTCTAAACGAACAGACACATTTACTGCTTGAACAGACACTTTCCTTTGCACGAACAGGTACACTGCCTGCACGTACAGACACACCCTTACCCGAACAGACATGACATACACATCTCCTGGTGAACAGGTAAGTCTTTTGACAATGCCCTTTGCCTTAGATTTAGATGTGCCTGTTGACAGAGAACTTGACCTTTGACCTGCTTTCACGTTTCTGAGCCCTGGCGAGATACCTTTCACAATGCTTTACTTTTACAAGGTCCGTGCTGCTTTACTTTTACAAGGCCTGAGGCCTATATCGGGTAAAGGCCCTTTTAACTCGGTGAAACCGTTTCACAGCAACAGCACGGAAGAAATAAAAGAGGAGGGCAATATGGCCATACAGAGACGTGGTGTTCACCAAAGTATCGTTAACATCCCAGGGATCTTAGCACCACATTGAGTCTGTTGGTGCCCTAGGCAGTCATCAGTTTGTAATGCAGGGAGCATTTTTCCTCTGCCATTGGTGCTGCTAAGGAGAACCCAGTTTTCCATGAATCGTCAAAAAATCAATGAGCAAGCAAAGAACCGTCCATATGCGATTGCGGCCTGAACAGGACGGTCCAGCACAGCGGGGTGCAGCACCCTCCTTGTCGCCCCTTGCTGATTTCACAAGGCAGCTCCAGCCAGAGTAGTCTTCTCAGAGGACGGCGAAGTTAGGTTGGCGGCAGTTCATGTGTCTCAGCAAACTGACGCGGGCACTGCAGTACCGCATCCCATTTTTGTTTGTATCATAGTGCTGCACTTAGAACTTCCCAATAGTATTGTAGCAAGGAAGATAGAGATTTGGCAGGATGATGCCCAGGAACGGTAGAAGTTCCTACCGTCTTCCCTCGAGCCTAACGCACCCTTAAAATGAATGTATACAAGTTACATTTCCGGCCAGATACAGCCAAAATGAGGGTGCGTTGTGTTCGGGGGAAGACGGTAGCAGTCAGTAGGTAGGAAGGCACCATGTGTCCAGTCCCAGTCAAGTTGCATCTCAGTCCCAGGAAAACCCTAGGGAACAGTCCAAATCTTTGTCGGCCTCAGCAGGGCCTGGCACAAGGAGCCATGAGCCACATGAGCCCGCACAAGTACAAAAGGGATTCTCACGCCGCAAACCTTCTCTTCTGTTCTGGCTAATGTGGAAGCACTGCTGTGTTATTGTCACCAAGATCCTGCAGGTGTGAACACTGACAGGTGAGGAAGTAGTTGATGGTGCAGGGCGCCATAGCTGTAGGGCAGCGCAGTAGTAGAGAGGGAGAGCAGTGAGGACATTCAGAGAGAGATCATGATACCTGTGTATGTAGTAGTAGTGGTATGTGCCTGATTGAAACGAGATACAGCATGGCATTCACACGTTCCCATAGACATGCGCAATGACAAGAGATCTTGGAGAGAGCAATTCACACCTCACCAGATGAGAGAATACACAGCGGAAGCACCCATCAAAAATAGAATTGAAATTAATCAATTGATCCAATTCTAATTAATACCCCGCTCCCTCCAGCCAATGAACACACTGTTTTTTCCAAGTATCCCAACCACGTTATTAACAACCAGAGACCAATTATCTACAAAAGTTTCATCGAAGTGTCTGGGAGTCTTCTTCTTGTTCCCTCAAGTCAAGCTCTGGCTATGGCGCGGCACAGCAACCCAACAGCCCATCAGTCGCCCCGACCCTCCTGAACCCAACACCACACGCAGCAGTCCCGTCCTGATGCCCACTTCAGATGAGGTGTCTGTTCAACATGGGAGAGGGGCTTCCTGGATGAAGGAGAAGAATACCAACACAATGAAAATGGAGATCTGCCCTCACAAAGAAGAAACATCAAGCTGCTTCGATGGGGAGCAGTCCAAAACCCCAGAAGATGCACAGTGGAGAGGGGGCGCCTATGGCACTGAAACCTTGAAGGTCCAGCATTCCTGATGACAGCAGGGATATATGCCAGATATGGCCGCCAGTGTTCACTCCCAATGAACATACTGCGCTGCCTGGAAGAACAATGCGACCTCTCCTGCAACACTTTACGAAAAGAAATGAACCAAAGAACCTGTAGAAATTGCAGACCTGACTTTTTGTTCCCTCACGACCTCTAGACTTGACAGCCTACCGACCTACAGCCTAGGACAGACCCAAGCTACGGACTCCCTGTATCTAGACCTAAACAGGTGAAAGGGGAAAAGGGCAAAACAACGGCCTACAACAAGAAAAACGTCCCTGCAAGGGACAGGTTCGGGATAAAGACTTGGAGACCTCAAACGCAGTCAAGTTAGAGCAGTCCCTGGTGGACATAGGTCCAGGGTTAAAAAACCGGACGACTCAAAAGACGCGAAAAGTTAGAAGAACGCCTAACTGCAGCTGTTACACCGCGGTAGAACCTGCGATTCATTGCAGTAGGAGGGAGGGAGGGAGAGAGAGAGAGAGAGAGAGAGAGAGAGAGAGAGAGAGAGAGAGAGAGAGAGAGAGAGAGAGAGAGAGAGAGAGAGAGANAGAGAGAGAGAGAGAGAGAGAGAGAGAGAGAGAGAGAGAGAGAGAGAGAGAGAGACTTATCTGCTTGTTGTTCTTGTTGGCAACCATTGCTGCAGATCTTGACGAACCTGTGTCCATCATTTCAACTTGTAATTAAGTTCTGTGTACTCTTAGTGTGTGAATCTTGCCGGTGTGGTATGGAGTCTATGGACCTTGAGTGCAATGCATACATTAAGTTTGAAGCAAGAAAGGTGAGAAATCAAGATCGTTTTCAGTAAAGGTGGGCCTTGTCACTATGTGCTGCTGGGTTTGGCTGGTACGTTGGCTTGTTATGATGCATCATTTCTGATTTTGAATGTGTCCATCGCCATGGTGTATCAACAGCTTGCTGCTCTGTGGGATCACTTCTCTGCATTTGGCGAAGTGGTGGTTTTTGAAATCGATGATAAGTCCTTCACAGCTTCTGTGGGAGAACATCCAGCAATTTTAGATGTGACGGCTGTGCGGGTGGTGTTTGCAAGTAGGAAGGATGCAGAGAATGCCCTTGCTCAAGGAAAGTACTTTCGAGGTCATGCCTTGCATCTGGCCTGGGGCACTGCTGTCAGTGCTGGGGCAGCGGCTAGTCCTCCCTTATCGACTCTTGTGGGAACTGCCACCACGGTGACCTTTGACCGAGGTACCAATGTTGCAGGAAGCAGATGCTCAGGACCAAATCAACTTGCAATTCAAGAGGGAGCAGTGGCAACAACAACAGCATTGTCATCTCGTGGTGATGAGAGTGTCCATGCCACAACCCTACAGCCAATCAATCAGTGTGCCACCAAACCACAGAAGGCTTTGTCAGATTCAGATGGAACAACTCGGGACGCTGCTGACAGACAGCCCACCAGTGTGCTTTGTGGTAGTGATGTGAGGGAACTACTTGATGAGTGTCCTGCTGGTGGTGCTGAGGCTGCTCCTCACTCGGTATTTGGTTCAACTACAAGTATAAGCAGAGCGGGAGGACAAGTAGGGGAATCTGTTGAACAGGAAAGTGTGGCACAAGAGGATGCTGAAGGTCCAACAGTGACAGCGGCAAGTGGGAACAATCCGTCAGCTTTTGAGAATGCCCATCCTATGTCTCTGGGTTCAGTGCAAAGGGCACGTCCAGGTGCTAGTCAATGCATCAGAATAACCTGTGGGAGCAGTGCTGAAACATTGAGTGGCAATCAGGCGCTGTTCAAAACAGGAGTTCAGTGTGGGTTGGTTGATATTGATTTTGGCAGTTCAGAAGCACATTCTCGCAGTGGTCATCGTGCTGAAGAGCCAGCCAGTTGGAATCTGAGTGGGAGTGCACAAGAAGATGGTGAAGGCATCTACCTTGCTGCAAGCAGTCTCATTGATGATGAAGGGCTTGGTAAAAGCAGTGTTGCAATGCGAAATTCCCAACTGATTGCATCGTGTGGAAATGATCGGAGAGAAGGTGAAGTTTCTGGTGATGCCAATAAGGGTGAGAGCGGTTGTGAGGGCCTTGGTGGTCATCATCCAGGTGAAGGTGATGAAGGTGAGCAGGAGGATGGCAGAAACGACAGTGCTTCTGCCCCCTGATATGCTGGAAGACATCGTAATCAAGATGCTGGTCTTGTCCATGTGGATGACCAAGGGCACTTGAAAGATGAGGGTGTTCAGTTTCATAGTATCGCATGTGATACTGTTGGACATGACATAGGGTCCGACGGTGGTTGTGGTGATCATGTGGAACAGGAGGGTAGGGTATCTTGTGGGAAGGACAGTGATGGCTTCCACAGTGAGTAGAAGTGTGTTGCCAGCCTAACGATGGCCATGCTGTTGGGATTTGTAGGGTAGAGTGTAATGATGCGGCTAGTTATGGGGGAAATCGCTATCTTGCTCCTGTATCAAATGAGGCATGTGAAAAGATTGATGTTCAGGGGCATGGTTCTCAATGTGGAATCAGTGTCTTGTGGTCTTCCAGAACGTGGCAACAGAAACATGCCTCTGAAGGCTGAGGATACAGTGCCTGTTGCCATCACAGTAGACGGTGGAGTTGTTGAAGATGACAGCTCTGTCGATGAAGCTACCGAGACCTGCTCTCACTCATATGACCACAATGATCTGAGTGGTCAAGTAGGTCTACGTGTGACCAGGGATGAGATGGAGTCACTTGCCGATGGATCATGGACCGATGCTAGCATCCACAGTGGGAAAGATGATTTTACTTTGTGTGGCTACCAAAATAAGGGAGATGACACAAGGGAGCCTGGATATACTGGGAACTGCACGGCAGAAAATTGAGTCCAGGGACGAGTATGATGGTGACGATGAGAACAAAAGTCACTCTGATTACCATGATGTCCGAGATAATTCAATATACGCACAGAGAATCCTGGCTTTTCGGTGCTGATGATGGACATAAAATAGCTGCTGGCTTGCATGGTGGCACTGTTTGGGGATGTGAGACTCGGCATCAGAAATGATTCTTCTTCCAATAGAGAGAAGAACAAAGGGACTGGGAACTGTACCTGGCATGCATGCAGTGGTGACATCGTGGCTCGTGGTGATTGCGACAATCATATAGTTAATGTCAATGCCAGAGGTGATGGTGGTGGCAGCGAGTTCGGGGAGTAAGCAGTGTCTTGGCCTGCGAGTTTGTGTCGTGCTTAAGAGCAGCAAAGTTGCACTTGTTTGTTATGCAACGAATTCTGATGTTCGCTGTGTGTATTGTCATGTTGCAGAGTCCCCAAGGAATGCACTGTTTCAGATCCCATTTGGACGTGGATATTCTTGATGTTGTCACATTTGACTCACAAATAATCCCGCTGTGTTAATGATTTGATTGGTAGTCATCATCATCATTAACTGTAGATGTAGTTAATTGCTTGTCAATCTCTTTGACATTACATCAATCCCTTTTGATAGCTTGTAGATTGGTACTTTTGGCATGAAGACAGCTGTCATTTTCTCTCCTCCTAATCTGGCTTACAGTAGTTAGAATTGTGGCTGGAAATGATGAACACATGTCAACCTGTGTGATTCTATATCCAACTTTGTGCTTATTATATGGATGACCATATGCTTTCTTCTTCATTTGACTGTTCTGTGTCTTTGTACAGCCTGCTAGCAGTTCAATTTGTACAGATATGTGTGGACTCTGGATCCCTGCACCAGACCTGCAAAATTATCATGCAGGAGTCTCTTAAGCCTTGTTGGTCGAACTCTGTGTGTGTGTGTGTGTGTGTGTGTGTGTGTGTGTGTGTGTGTGTGTGTGTGTGTGTGTGTGTGAGAGAGAGAGAGAGAGAGAGAGAGAGNGTGTGTGTGTGTGTGTGTGTGTGTGTGTGTGTGTGTGTGTGTGTGAGAGAGAGAGAGAGAGAGAGAGAGAGAGAGAGAGAGAGAGAGAGAGGAAGCCTCACCGGCCAACCTTCACATCAAGACATGTTTTTTCCCCAGGGAACAGACAACATGAACTCCCAAAGATGCATTCCGAAGCTTACAAGCCAAGTTCACTTTTGAGCATAAGACCACTTTGCGCTTATGTTACATGAATGTCCCACTCTGTATCTTATTATATGGATCAGTTCCATTGGCACCGACATTCCTTGAACCATTCCTGCATCAGACCTGCAAAATCGTCATGCAGGGGCCTCCTCAGCCTTGGTCCTTTGAGCAGTGTGTGTGTGGGGGGCCGGGGGGAGGAGGGGGGGCGAGAGACAGAGAGAGAGAGAGAGAGAGAGAGAGAGAGAGAGAGAGAGAGAGAGAGAGAGAGAGAGCCTTGCTGGCCAAGCTTAACCCCGAGAAACAGATGCAACATGATCTCCCAGAGATGCATTCCACAGATTCAACGGTTTTCCCCGGGAAACAGACTCAATATGAGATGCATTCCAAAGCTCCCCAGTCACATGCTGCCGTGCAGTTTTGAGCATAAGATTCAAACCTCCCCAACATAGACTCTTAACAAAGACTCCATAAATCAGACAGACGAAATGAAACAGGAGAACAGCAAACAAAACACAAGGGTTTCATGACAGGCTGTTTACTCACTCTCACCCGCTCATGAGGAGGTTGAACAGTCTACAGTTTGCTAAATCCCAATCTTGATGCTTTGAGTCATAAACTACTGTGACCCTTGTTGCCAGTGGACAGGTGGGCTGGTGAAACTGCAAACAGCAAGGCAAGGGGGAGGCAACAAGGCACTGGGTGACAAGTGACAACAAAGCACATAGGCCAGAGGGCACGGGGAGCTGGGTGGGAAGCGAAATGACAAGGCAACCAACAGGGGAGCACGATGAGTAGACAACAAGGCTGAAAAACAATAGAACAGCAAGACGACAAGGCAGCAGACGACAAGGCAGCAAGGCATCTCAACAGCAAGGCAACATGGCAGCGAGGTAGAGAGAGGGGCAAAGTGGACGGGCAGCCAGGCAGCAGGCAAAGCGGACAGGCAGCCAGGCAGCAGACAAAGCGGATGGGCAGCCAGAAGGGCAGTCAGGCAGCAAGGCATCGCGCAAGGCACACGGGAGGGC